TTTTAATAAATTTTAATTTTTTTTATTAGTTATATATTTATAAATTTAAGTAAATACAATAGACAACAATGGACACCGATATTATATGTCTATTACTTAATTAATGAACAATGGACAGAATTTTTTGTCCAGTATTATCCATTGTCCATTATCCAGTTATAACAATACTGACGTCATCAACCACCACGTCACTAGAAAGCGAAGCGTCAATAAGAAACTCAGAGAGTAATAGAAACTCCTAGTAGCCAAGAAACGGCAGATACTCCACGTCAGCAGATTCTGATAACAACTTCGACATCTTCAAGTAGTCAAAAAACATGTTGGCAAGTTCTGACAATAACTTCAACATCTTCAAGTAGTCAAGAAACGTGTCAGTAGGTTCCAACAACAACTTCAATACCTTCAAATAGCCAAAAAACACATTGACAACAACTTCAACGCCTCTTAGTAGCCAAGAAATACCATATCAACAAGTTTCGGTACTAAATCTAAGTAGTTAAGAAACACCAAATCAACAGGCTCTGACAACTAAAAGTCAATTGAAAATACCAAAATCTTCACGTCAGCAGAATCTGACAAATGAAGGACTATTCAAATTATTAGTGTCATCAAATATTTTTAAAGAAACTCGACCTCAATCTCCAACTCAATCAGGCAGAGATTATGATGTTTTGCTTAATTACAGGATCAAAGTCAAACATCAACATGGTGAAATCTCAACCGCTGGTATGGTTAGAGATGCTATTCTAGAAGTTGATAACTGGGATCTGCAGACATTATCAGCTTCCCATCAGAGGATAACTGAAAGGTCTTTAACATGTCAGCAAATAAGTGATGAAAGACGTCATGATAAAAAGAGTAGCAAAAGGAGTATAACTCTTTATCATCGACAATTTGACATTTCACGAGGTGACTAATTTTGATATACTTCATATCAATACACATGAGATCGTAAATTAAGACGTGACGAAAGGTGTGTAACTCTTTATTGACCAAGAAAAAGAAAAACATCTCCTGGAGTAACTGATTCTTTGCTGAGCGAAGGTAAGTGTAATTTATTGCAAAAATTTAGCCGATATATACTTTTTAATCAATTTATTATTAACTTTTCTATGAAAAAGCATATTTACGTAAAGAATCGACAAGTTGAGCAGGCAACTCAGCAATGTAAATAAACGATTAAGACATTTAAGGACAGAATTCGGTAAAGTTACTGGAGATAATGAAATGCTTATTCGTGAAAATGAGAGTTTGCAGGACAAATTTGGATGAGACTGACGAAGACGTAGAGATGAAGAATCAGATGATGATAGTCAAAAAAAATGAACTTGACACAGTTGCGATGAAAGCGATGAAGAGGGTCTTATGACAATAACGTGACCAGGATTTGTTTAAAATCTCTTCTGAATTCTAATTAAAATAACTTTAATTCTAACTGAATTTTAATCAAATATAACCAACATTAATCAAATTAACTTAAATCAGCTTTATTTTTTTTATAATTTAGATTGAAATGAGAATGATTTTAAAAACACTGCTGAACCATCTTGAAATGAGATATGATCTTAAGTTTAGCAGTAAAGAAAATACTGAAATATTACAACAAGTAATACCGCATCTCGTCAAAGCCTTAAAAAGGTTCAAAACAATATACAAACAAATTAGAAATTAGCTTGGCTCACTTCACAGGCATTGATAAGTTTGGTTATTATATAAATAATGTGATACTTTAAATCGTAATAATCAGTGATTACACAAAAATAATCCTACCAATGAGGTAAATATAATTGAAATTGATTTTTTTTTAAGAAAAATGAACTTCAATTAACATTCGATATTTTAATATAGAAAAAGGCCAGAAGGATTAAAGGTGCCAATTCGCTTTTTGATTTAGGTAATGAGAGAGTTTTGAAATATGATAAGAAAGAGTTATTGAGGATCTTGAAGAACAATCATTATCATTTCCCTAAAGATTCAGTGACTGATTCAGAAGAAACAGAAATACGAATAATTAATGTTTATAACCTAAGCTGGAGTTCAGATGAGGTTCAATACTTTTTTAGAAATTTATTTATAATTTTGTTAAAATTTTAACTAATTTTGATATTTAATTTTATTAGTTAAGAGCGTTGTTATGAGAGGTCGACCGTTATGCGTTCTCGCTGCAATTAACGAAACTCGACATTATAGCAATGATTTTATGATACATATTCGACACCCTCAAAATGCTTCAAAATACTTCAGCAGACACCGATTTTTCAGCATCAGCAACCGAAGTTGAAGGTCAAGATGATGATATTAAAGAAGAAGAATAAATTCAGCATATCATAATTTATAATGAATTTTATTTGATTTTTAGTTTATTTTATATATATTTGTATTATTATATTTTGTAATTATATTTTATTTATATATTTTATTTTATATTTTAAATTAATAAACCATTTGTTATTAATTCGATTAAATTACGTTATTATAAAATAAATAAATCGTCAAAAAATATGAAAATAAATATAATAAAATCATCTAAATATCAGAAATTTTATTTCACTGATTTTGTGATTACTTATAGCCGAAATATTACTGAACTTTTTATTAACAAGTTAAATTTTGTTTGTTTTATTAGTTGAACGAATTTAAGCCGATTTTATCAAAGATATAGCCAAAATATTACTGACCTTTTTTTAACAAGTCAAATTTTATATACATTCATTCCTAAAGAGATGATAGAAATTGTTTCTAAAGAAACAATATATCATCATTCTGAAAAATTATTTTTGACATTATTCTTTTGAAACAATTCAGTTATTGTTCCTTTAGAATAATTTTTTTAGTTCTTTTGAAATGATGTAATTATCATTATAAAAAAATGACTATTTCATCATTCTTAAGGAACAATTCATCATCATTCTAAAAGAATGATTTTTTTTTATGTTCTTTTGGAACGATTCATCATCATTTCAAAAAGAATGATTTTTATTATTGTTCTTTTAGAATGATATTTCATTGTTTCTTTAAATGATATTTTACATCATTCTATTAGAATGATATATAAAAGATTTGCTAGAAAAATAGGGCTTTGAGCATTTTTTATTAAAATTTTAACATTATCAAAAATTAAAATGCAATAAATTAAAATTTTAATAAAAAATACTTAAAGCCCGATTTTTCTAATAAACCTCCTATATAATTGTTCCTTTAAAATGATTTTTTTTTATCATTCTTTTAGAACAATATATTATTATTCCTTTAGAATAATATATAATCATTCCTTTAAAATAATTTTGTTATCATTCTTTTAGAATGATATTTTACATTGTTTTATTAGAATAATATATAATTATTTCTTTAAAATAATTTTTATTATCATTCTTAAGAAATAATCAAACTATCATTCTTTTTGAATAATTTTCATTATTGTTCCAATCGGATGATGCAAAATCATTTATTTAAAGCATTTCACTAGTCGAAATCATTTCATTCGTATTAATACCATTCAGTTAACATTCAGCTGATTCGGTCATGTGATTTGGTAAAATTTAGCTTAATTTATAAAATCAATAATCATTTGTTACACTACACATATTTCAGCATTAAGACATATTGTCAAACATTCAGCTAATTCGGTCATGTGATTCAGCAAAAATTCAGCTTGAGTTACAAAAATCAATAGTCATTCATTATAATACACATAATTTAGCACTATTTCAGCATTAAGACATTTTGTCAAACATTCAGCCAATTCGGTCATGTGATTCAGCAAAAATTCGGCTTGAGTTACAAAAATCAATAGTCATTCATTATACTGCATATAATTTAGTATTATTTCAGCACTAAGACTTTTTTGTA